AAAAATAATGATAGTGCCCTCTTTCTTTGCATGTATGTTTCTGTTGAAGATTGTGAAGAACTTTGCTCTCAGATAAGCTCACTACTGTTCTATCGTTGCTACAATTATTTTTTCCCTCGCTTAAGGTTATTATAAATGATAGACCTAAAGTTGTTCGGGTGTCAAATTAAAAAAGCAAAAATATTGCTTACCAATGGCTAATACAATGTGCTTCGTCCACAACGATGCCAATTAAATTCTTCTGGTAAACGTCGGAAGATAACATGCTTCGCCACCTACCATTTCCTAATAAGGATTCCGGCGAAGAAAATACCACGCAGCACTCTCCTTTCTCAATCCTCATGTCAAGTACCTTATCCTCTCCTATCGAGCAAGCTGAGATGCCACATTTCCGTAAGTAACTTGTTTGATCTTCCATGAGGCTCACTAAAGGGGATATTATAATTATTACTGGGTTCGCTGCAAATCCATCGCGGCCTCGTGATAACTCGGCGTGAACTAAAGGAGCCATCTGGAACACAAGAGACTTTCCAAACCCCGTTGGCAAGTTCAGAAGGACGTCAGTACCATAAACAAACGTTTTAAGCGCTTTGAACTGTTCGGGGAACAGTGTTTCCACGCCAAAAACTTGGCAAGCGTTTTGCACGGCTGAATCGAAACCTTCCACATCTTCCGCCATTTTGATTTGACTCGATGTGTGGGAAATTACATTCCATACATTCCACACTTCTCGAAATATGGTACACGCGCTCTGATTGGTGAAAATTGGCAATGACTCTGACGTCACGAACACGACTTCGCACAGAGTATATCAGACGGGAGAGGGAGGGAAGCGAAAGGGACCGCGAACGACCTCGGACGTCTGAGAATCAGGCTATTGTTTTTGTACCTTGGTTTTGAAGTTGCAAGGGAAACTAAAAAACAAGTGACAGTCACTGCAACCATATAACATCTTAACCGACAACAATGCACACTGAGCTATGAGTGAGGATATCACATTACTTAAGTTACGAGGCTGATTAAAAAATTACTGGAGAAAGTGTCAAATTTAGTCAAATTAAGTCTATTCTATAGAGCTTATGTAAATAGGAGCTTGCATATCTGAATAACTTAAAATACAAAAAAGTAAAAATTCTGCCAAACATCTTAAAATTTTAATGAGTAGATTTTGAGAAATCATCTTCTGTGTACCATTGCTTTTTTTCCTGCCTTGTTGGTTCATCTAATTTAAAACATGCACCATCACGCGAGTTACCGCTGACTGCCCGGAAAACTGTGTTTAGCCACCTTAAATTCAATGTCATGTTTGCCACAAAACACTACTCCAGCTCAACCCTTTGGTGGCTATTATTAGTATTAAATGTGTTGCATATTTCAAACTCTACAGAGGAACCTGTTTAACAGGAAATGTCTGAAAAGCGATATACAGTTACATGTAAAATCAATACACTTGAGAGTAACCAAACTATAATAAAGAGAAATAATGTCTGACCTTCAATTTCCCTTTTTCAGGTTTTTTTTTTCTCAAAACCACAGATCTTTGGTTATATAAGGGATGATCAGTAAACAAATCTCCTGGTTGCCTTGCAAGTTGTGGGAACATTGTTTGGATTTCATTTGAGAGAACATATAAGGAGTACCCCCTCCCCACTGGTCAATATGATGCTTGCATAGAACTGCAGCATACTAGAGGATAATAGAAGTAGTTTTACCAGTTTAACTTCACTGCTGGTATTGCTGTCCACCGAGATGAAGACTTAAAGGGGCTGTGTCACAATTTTAGTATCATTCTGTGACAGTTGATTTCACACTGTTTACCACTGCACATTACGAAGTTTATTTGGAAATTGGGTACCACATCATGAAGTAGCCAAATTATGTAGCGAGTTTACAGGAAATTAATTGCAAACATTGAGATGTAGTTGCCAAATTTGGCGTGACTGAACTTCACAAGTTTGCTCAACACCCGGAGTAGTCAATCAATAAAAATAGGTATCAATTTATCAATCGATAAATCAATAAAAATTGGTAAATCTGATTTGATTGACATTGATTGTATCGATCAATTGGTAGAAATCTGTGACACACTCATTTAGTTTATTGATTTATCTAGATTTTACCGATTCCATTGCTTTTTATCGGAAGATACATCTGTTCTTCTGCTCATCCAAAAATGAAAACTGATTTCACGTGAATTTGTTGACAATTGAGTTGCAAAAATTGAGAGTCGAAGGATCAAACAATTTATTATCACTAGTCTTTTCAAAAAAAGTTTTAAAAAACCTTATCTTCTTTAAAACCTGCTTTAAAGTCTTCTTCGGATGGCCGACATTGGCCAGGTTTTTTATTTTTCCCAGTTTTTCAAAATGTAGATCTGCCGCCCATTCAAAATAACCTCAGTTCCGCGTGTAGTTACTTCCCGGAGGAGCCAATAGATAAAAAACTAAATCGATAAAAATCGTTAGTGATCAAGTGATTTTACATCCTCGGAGACCCAGGGGCAGTTAGTCGGGTCGATAAAATGTTCGTGGTGAAAGTTTACTGTAAGATCGAGACGAGCGTTTGAATTGCCTGCTTCTGATTGGCCAGAAAAATTTTTTTCTGGCCAATCAGCGAAGAGAAGCCGCCGGGTGACTCTCGTGTTTTCTTACACTACGTAGTTTTCCTCATCAATCGCCATAGTTGTTTAGCACGTTCAACGGGGAAAGTTTCTCGAGGAAAGTTTTAGAGCAAAATGTTAACAACCCGCAAAAATTACAACTTTTAGCACGGCTACAAGAAACAAACACTCTCCGGTGAATTTTTAGAGCAGATCTTTCCAAGGTATCGTAAATTTGTACTGATACGATACGCGATGCATGACTTTCACTTTCCACCCCTTAATTTGCTCACATTGTCTTGTATACAACGCCAAGCTTACATTTTAGATGTCCATGTTCGCCGCACGTCTTCTGAAACTTTCTACAACGTGAAAATTTCCGTTGCACGGGCCAGGCAACTACGTCGATTGATCGTAGGAAAAGCCGGCTCGTTTCGGTGCCTTCTTCTTGCTTTCGCTCCAAACTCCTTTCGAAACTTTTAAGCTTAAAAGCTTACAGCAGTTGACTGTACAAATTCTGCCGAAGTTGATAGTAGTGTTAACTTAAGGTTCGAGGGAGATCTCCAGCAAGCGCTTGGAGAAGGCTCTTCTTTGTTTCCTGTGGTACAGTTCAAAGCGAAGCAAGTGGAAAGAAGAGATGTTTTTGGGCAATTGATAGAGGAGTCTAACCTTCCAAATGTTGCCTATAAGCTAGGGGGTTTAAAAATCGTTAGATGCTAAAGGTTATGAATTCCCTAGTAATCCATTGGTCATAGTGATTTCACCTCTTATGTCAATTGTTGAGGACCAGGTAAAGTACTCGAGATCACTAGGAATTAAGGTTGCTTACTTAGGGGAAAGCAAAACGAAAGATCGAGAAATATTGAATGGTTAGAAAGCGTTTTCTTTGTTGTATGGAAGCCCAGAATAATTAACTGGGGACAAGAAATTCAGTGCAATGTTCTCTAAGAAGGTTTACCAGAAGAATCCTGTTGCAGGTACATACAGCTGTTCATTGGTAAGTATGCTGATTTGTTTACTAGGAAGGGAGCTACACTGAATTCATTGTGGGGAGTTCTGAAGGGGTAAAATGGAATGTTGTAGCTCAGGAAAAATGGGATTTAAGTCACTGGCAGGGGGATTCTATCACTGAGAATGGGAAAAAATGTAAAAAATGGGAATTGAGGGTTAAACAGTTTCAGTGGGATTGATATCCCCCCTTCAGGACCCTCATTATACTTAACAGTAGATCTGGGTTATATTCAAGGATGCTCAGTAATCTTATGTCTAAAAGCTGAGAGACACTTCACAAGTCTAGAATTATCACGTTTTTTGTCACCATTTATTGACAATAGAAAGCTGATGAAGCCTTGTGACTGCTTAAGATAATAGTGAAATTGAATATTTACCTATTATAAATGGAAGAACATCCCATAATACAGTTCCACTACAGATGCCATTACATTAATTTTTTTTTTAAGCTGTTGAGATTTTTTTTTGGTTACTTTATCAGTGTTGGAGTTCACATGTCTTCTTATAATAATGCTTGAGTTATGTAAATACTAGGGAGCTGTAATATTTTATTTTAATTTGTTAATAAACATTTATACTGGGGTATTTGTTGGTGATTCTTTCTGTCCCAAAGGGTTTGTTTTACTAGGTGGCCAACAAGTATACTTAAGTATATTATTTGAAAACTGTCTAGAAAAATGGGGTGCGCATTGTATTCGGGTGCACATTATACACAAGTAAATATGGTATACCTACACATAACATACTAAAACTGTTTTCCAACACTCTCTGGAAAAAAGGGAACTGTGCTGAAATTGTCACCTACTGTTTTCGATAATTCTAAAAGTCTTTCTTCTTTTAGATTTTATCAAGTGTACAACCTGCAGAAGAGAAAAAAATCCTTCCTTTTTTGACAACAGTAATGAAAACAGCAGAATCATTCCAAGCCACTTATGTTGCGACATCGGTGCCAAAGACTGTTAGTCTGCTTGAAGAAAATCAAGATGATCTGAGACAGGAATTTCAAGAATCAAATCTTCCTTGCTAGTATTTTGTAGAATTTGTATTCTCTGATTGTCTTCTACAGGAAACAATAATAATTGATAATTGTAATAAATTATGTTCTGTGGAAAGTATTTTAGAGACACTGTGTCGAATGGTGGCCATGCAATGAAGATTTTTACTTTTCTGAAGAGGGTGTTTAAAGATTTAAAAATAATTATCAATGAAGAATATTATTGTCAGATGAGGAGAATTATGATAGGGAAGTTATGAAATATCAAACAAATGCACCAAAGGAAAATTGTTCATATTGTAGCATTATTCTTTCAAAATAAGTCCAAACTTGTAACATCAATAATTGCAATTATTGCAAGGGAGTTAAAACAATGGCACTGTGAATGTGTTTGAGGGTGTCAGTAAGGGGAAACATCAAGTCATCAAGCCATTCCCACGATCAATCGACGTAGTTGCATGGCCCGTGCAACGGAAATTTTCACGTTGCAGAAAGTTTCAGAACATGGACATCTAAAATGTAAGCTTGGCGTTGTATACAAGACAATGTGAGCAAATTAAGGTGTGGAAAGTGGAAGTCATGCATCGCGTATCGTATCATCAATAAAAATTTACGATACCTTGGAAAGATCCGCCCTAAAAATTCATCGGAGAGTGTTTGCTTCTTGTAGCCGTGCTAAAAGTTGTAATTTTTGCGGGCTGTTAACATTTTGTTCTGATTCTTTCCTCGAGAAACTTTCCCTGTTGAACGTGCTACGCAACTATGGCGATCGATGAGGAAAACTATGTAGTGTAAGAAAACACGAGAGTCACCCAGCGGCTTCTCTTCGCTGATTGGCCAGAAAAAAATCAGAAGCAGGCAATTCAAACGCTTCTGGAACTGGTTCGGTAAGACTAAGTGCCCAGGGGCTCGTCTCGATCTTACAGTAAACTTTCACCACGAACATTTTATCGACCCGACTAACGCCACTAACTGCCCCTGGGTCTCCGAGGTTGGTGATTTTATTGATTGATAACGGAAAACGGTGAAAAGCTATCCATAGAAATCTTTTAGTCTGAATTTTGGGCATCCCTTT